AAGCTGGCCGTTTTGACAGAAAACGGGGCTGTCAGTTTTGTGAGTTTTTCTCAAATAATTCTCCTTTAATCTTGTTGTAATCCGAGAATAAGTTGTTCTTGATGATATATATGTTGTATCCCTTAGTTGAATCTGAGGAAGAATGATTGTGAACCCATTATTTGTTGATAGTGGAAGTTTTTAGGTGGACTACGGTCCCGTGGTTTTTCCCGCATCGGGTTTTCCACGTTAAAAATCTTGGTGTTGATTTTGTGATTATTTGCATTATTTTTCATCATTGTTTGATTCTGTTTTACTGCACAAAGAGGGAAAGAATTGGGACTTGTGAATTGTAATTGTATTCCGCTGAATTGATCCGGGTAAATTGGTGTCCAGTTGTTCCTAGTTTTCCTAATAGTTGAATATTTTGGTAAGTTCAAATCTATTTGTGACAAATGACAAATGGACATCTCATGTTTTGGATCTTATTCATTGTGATTTTTAGGGTCCATTTTCCATTCCATCCAATTTAAGTTATAAATATTATGTTATTTTTGTTGATGATCATTCTTGATTTACGTGACTCTATCTTTTAAAATTTAAATAAAATGTTTTCAACATTTTTATTCAATTTCAGAAATTTATAGAAACTCAATTTTCACTTAAAATCAAAGTATTTTAAAGAGATGGAGGCACTTAATTTACAAATTATCAATTTCAAGATCACTTACTAAACTGTTGCATTCATCATCAAATGTCTTGTCCTTATACACCAGCCCAAACTAACAGGTCGAGCGAAAACATCGACATATAACTGAAACTGTTTTAGCAATGCCTTTTTACTTGCATGTTCCTCTATGATTCCTCTATGATTTTGGGTTAATGCTTTTAGCACAATTGTTTTCATCGTCAATCGGTTGCCCATACCAACTCTTGATGGCTTGTCTCATTTTGAGCTTCTGTATGGTAAATCTTAGATTTATTTCAATTTTCATCCTTTTAGTTGCCTTGTATTTCTTTACTTACGTGACTATGCTCCCCACAAATTAAGTCATCGCAGTCGTCCATATGTCTTTCTTGGCTGCAGTATGTCCCATCATGATTTTTATTGTCTTGATTGTTCTACTATTCATCTATTCATTTCCAGGCATGCTATTTTTGATGCACTTAACTATCCCTTTTAAGGAAATTCTTACTAAATGCGCCTGCTTAACTCCCCTGTTAGTGCATTCCTTGAGCCTATTTTCATTCCAGTGGTTGACTTACCAACACAACCCAATCCTATACCACATGATGTGGATCTTGCTTAACTGACCCATATGCTAGTGTTGTGCCTCTTTCAGGTTTGTAGGCCCCTACTGTTGCCTCCACTATTCTTTCAATGCATGAGCTTTTGCCTGCCTCATCTCTTGTGTCTACTGAACCAAATCCTCTCACTGATGTATGCTCTCCTATAGCCCCGAGCTATCCTTCCCAGACTGGCACTCATCCGATGCAGACTTGCTTCAAATTAGGCATTTTCAAACCTTTTCACCGCTTCCATGTGAGCATAGTTCCTCATTCTAACTTGTTCCACTCTCTTCTCACCATGCGTGAGCCCAAAGGCTTCAAGTCTGCTGCTAAGCATCCTGACTGGATTTCTGTCATGGATATAGAAATTCAAGCCCTTCATTAGAATCACGCATAGGATCTAATACTAAGATCTCCTAACCAAAATGTTGTAGGCTCCAAATGGGTTTTTCACATCAAATACCTATTTGATGGTACTGTGGATCGTCTTAAGGCTCCTCTTGTCACAAAGAGTTACACGCAGCAACCGGGCATTGACTTCACCTATACATTTAGCCCTGTTGTCAAGGCTTCCATAGTTAGAGTTGTTTTGTCCTTGACAATCTTAAATAATTGGTCTCTCTAGCAACTTAACATCAATAATGCTTTTTTTAATGGACTTTTGCAATAACAAGTTTATACAGATCAGCCATCTGGCTATGTTTATCTTAAATATCCTACACATGTCTGACGGCTTCATCATGCTCTCTATGGCCTCAAGCAAGCTCCCAGCGCATGGTTTCATCGTTTTAGCTCCTCTTGGCCATTGGCTTTATTTATAGTTTTGCTGACCCATCTTTATTTGTACTCTCCAGAGGTGATGACTTAATATACCTACTATTGTATGTTGATGATATTTTCATGATTGACAGCAACTCAACACTCCTTCATGGCTTTATTGGTAAGCTAACTCATGAATTTTCCACTAAGAACCTTTGCTCTTTGAACTATTTTTTAGGCTTGAAAGCTCATCGCACATTTACTGGTCTATTTCTTAACCAAGCTAAGTACACCTATGAAATTCTATAGCGTGTACAGTTGGTTGACTCCAAACTAGTAGGTGCTCCCATGGTAGTTGCTCAACATCTTTCCATGGTTGGCCCTGATTTTAATGATCCATCTCTTTACTGGTCATTTGTCGGGGCCCTTCAATAACTTATAATTACTTATCCTGATATTGCTCACGTTGTAAGTGTTATCATTCAGTTCATGCATAAGCTATCTATTTTTTATTTTCAGGCTGTTAAACGAATACTATATTATTTTAAGAGAACTCTTCGCTTCGGCTTATCTTTTACTCCATCTTCTTCTAAAGAACTCACTGCTTATTCAGATGCCAATTAAGCTGGATATCCAGATACGCGTCACTCAGTTTCTAGTTATGCCATTTATTTTGGTGGTACTTTAGTGTTCTAAAGTTTGAAGAAGCAACCAACAGTTTCTCGATCCAGTTGTGAATCTGAATATCGAGCATTGATTTATACTACCACAAAGGTTAAATGGCTGCGACATCTTCTTTAGGACCTTCATGTATCTTCTCCATCTCCTCTGATCCCGCTCTGTAATAATCAAAGCTCAATTTTTCTTGCTATCAACCTAGTCTCCTATAAGCGTTCTATGTATATTGATTTAGATTATCATTTTGTGAGAGAGCTGGCTAGCTCTGGAGTCCTCAACATAGATTATCATTTATGTTTCCACTCACTTACAAATTGCCGATATTTTCTCCAAAAGTCTTGGCTAACCCATCTTTATTTTTTTTCGTTCCAAACTTCGCATCTCTGATTCTGAGATACTAGGCTTGCGGGGGGGTATTACGCATATAAAAGGATCCCCAAGATTCTCCTTAAATCATGTTGTACCTGTTATCAAAACTCAATCTCATTATTCTAGGCAATTCCTTGATTGTAGACAGTAGCTATATATATAAGGATACGTTGACTCTGTATATTGATTACCTTGTTGTAATATTGCTAAAGAAACTTTATAAATAAGATATGCACCACCAGGTAAATACACGGTGATTTTATAAACCTTGTCAGCTATTATACTTATAAACACTTGTTTATATTTAATATTCTATACAAATCTCCAAATAAACTAATTATACATTTAAAAGTAATACTAATTTTTTTACACCTGTTATGCATGGATGGTGTATATTTAACACTTTCACTTTTAAAAACTAATTATCCATGTTGTAACATGTTTTTTATTATAAAAATATTAAGATAATAATATATTAAATTCTTCGGTTGTCAATAAGTTCTAAATTAAATCTACTAATTTTGTTAGCATTGGATGATTCTAATCCTAGTTTATATACAAAAAAAAAAAAAATGTTGGCTCCGCAAATAATTTAATCACTAAAATCATCTCTTCATAAGAGTTTAGGAGTTGTTTGGTGTTATTTTTATTTATTATTTTATTTTTTATGTTGGATTAGATGATATTTTTTTAAAATTTGTTATCTAGAAAATACATACACTAATTGGTGGAACAAATGGAGGGGATAATCCTATCCTTACTTTGTCCTAACTTGGTTTTAGACTGCAACGATCTAGATCTAGAATATCTTAAACCCAGTAATTATTAGGGATGACTGTATCAGGTCCCGTCAAATTTTTTATGCATTCGAACCCATTCACGTTCACCTATAACCACTGCTATCACTTGTAATCGAGTTATCCATTCAGGGGCAATGAGGATATTCTTCACCTATTATCCACTGTCTACCTAACTTGACTTTCTTTCTTTTTTTTTACTTTTTATAGCACATCACAGAATTAATATTCTTATTTTTTTCTAAACAACATTTAAAAACTAATACTATATATTATTTAAAAATATAAATTATATTATAAAATATATTAATGATCTATACTAAGAAGTAAAACAATTGCATATACAAATCATTTAAGAGTTTATATATATATATATATAGGAATCATGTATATAATATTTAATTATGTTCATATTATTTGTTATATATAAAAATATATCAACTACCTAACTTCTATCATGTACTGTTTGGGAGTTGAGAACTTTTATCTTATTCAAACTCGATCATGCCTCGGATAGATCCCAACACTTGGGAGTTGGGACCCAGTTCCTTTGTGAGCCAAGGAGTTCTGAATCAAATTTAAGTTTTTAAAGGGCTCTTTCATATTGCTTTTTTTCTATTTTTGAAAATTAAAAAAAAAAAAAAAACGATATGAAAGAGCCCTTTAACAACTCAAATGGAATTATAGTTTGATGGTTTAAGTTTCACTCATGATGTGTGATTTAGGCTTACCACATGGATAAAATTTTCCTGGCTATCAAATGTACAAGTGAGTGATTTGTCTCATGCGTATGTGCAGGATGGTTTCTGTGAATCCAGAGCTGTCATGGAAGGGTCTGTGTCAAGAAAAAGAAAATGTCAAGATTTCAATAATGCTTGCTCTTTTATGATGCTTTAAGCAATGACCATGAGGAACCATCATATGCGTTGTCTATTCTCACAGGGAGAGCAGCTCAGTGAATGAAATTGTTAGAAAAGGAGTTCATAATCATAGAGAAACAAATTAAGTCTTCCAGAACTTCTTGCATGCCTCTTGGATGTAATTAAGCAATTACATAGTAGGTGTCCCTTTATGAGCAACCAAGAGCACAGATTCAAAGCATCCACCCTGGAATGAACCCATGAACTTGCTGGGCGGCATGTGCTGCAGTTATCTGGTCTGAACCAACAGAATTATAGCTGTTTTCACAAATATGAATAAACAGAAAGGAGATTAGGGTAGCTGTCGAATTAATGAATCAATATTCTGGAAACAGGCCTAGTCTAGTTGATCTGAGTACACATCAGATGAAAGGAATTGAGATATCTTGAGAAGTTGAATGTTTACCCTATTTGCAAAGTGGGATTGCATTCTAAATGCTGGAATAGCCCCTGAGACTGTGCATGCTGATGGCCATAGGACATACTTTGCTGATCATCACCTTCCCATGATGGTCGGAGGTTATTTCTTGCACTGATTTCATCCAGCTGCCGAACATTAGAAAACAGAAGGCAAACCACATTAGCTGACAAACATGAGTATATCAGCAAATGAGAATGTTTAGAAAGAACGTATATAGAATTTATTGTGCTGTAGAATTGAATTTGTTGCAAAATTCGAAAAAAAGGAGTATGCTAGCCAGCATTTTACTACAGGGAAAAAAAATGAAAACAAGGAGAGTGAGAACAAAGAAAAACAGGAAACTCCTGATTCTATAAGAAGTAAATAATTAAGACTGTATTAGGCGGGTGCTACACATGGTTTATTTTTTTTTACTTTTTCCCACTTTTAGAATGTAAGAAGAAATACTTGTAACTTTTGAAAACATTCATGAAATAATGAACAATGCTGTTTCTTAATCATGAGAATGGTTTTAAGGATCTCTGTAGATGGGTTCTTTATAATATCCTGATTAGCATGAGAGATACAGGGCCTTTAAGAAAATTTAAGAATAACTCCTGACAACCTTGCAGAAAACAAGTTTCTATATACCTGGGGCTAACAAGTCACCACCAGCAAGTAGCCTCTCATCCAGTATAAAATCAATTTGGATATAACAAGGTGAAATATTACCTTCATTGTCAAAGCTCTGTTTGCTTCCAGCAACATATGTTCCTGTACTCAAAATACTTTTCAGTTAGCATTGGAAGTTACATAAAGTGAGTTGCACTAGTTATACACTAACTGTCACTTTCATATACCTTATTTTGAAGATCACCAAGTTGGTCGAGCATATACTGGGTCTGCAAAGTGGCATGGAATGATAATAATATCAACAAACACAATATAGAAGAACTAGTATTTTCTTTTCAGCAAATAAACATTAAGAAACAAGATACACAAAGCACTATGAACTCTCCATGCTTTTCTCAAAAGATAAGACCAGCAGGCTCTTAGCCTATGAAAGCCAAGCCAAGAGACAATCTCTTAGTCTATCATTTTCTACAGTAAACTCACAGCCGATTGTAATTGCAGAACTATATGGAAGGATTCTATCAGCCCGTCCTAGCAGGAGCTGCAGAATCAAGGTACCATTGATCTTTCCTAACAAAGACGGGAACATCAAATTCACTACTATACAGCTAGAACAGGCGGCACAAACAAATGGTTGAAAGGAAGATAGCCATTTTACGCCTATCTTAAGGCCGTAAAGGAAAACCAGGAAACGATAGGAAAGAAATAGCAAAAGAAAGCTACAACTCAACAATAACTGAATTAAGAAAAAAAAATCCTAATACAAGAATTAGTTTTGTCGCTAGAACACCTTGTTGCATCTATCTTCCAAGTACCCTTGTCTTGATTTGTAGTCCATGAAATTTTAACATCATAGAAGATTAATGCTAGTAATTGATACCCGGAAAATCGTCTTAATGTGAAATATGAAGTTGATTTTTCCTTGATGATAGAAAGAAAAATATAACAATAAAAACTTAGATTACCTTAGTTGACCGAACTTGCTTCAATGACGACTCCAAATGACGCTCGAGCTGCTCGAGTTCTTTTGTATTCAGAGGTCCGAGGTCCTCTCCAAGAAGGTTCCTGCAGTACAAAAGGAAATTTATCAAGGATATGAAATCAGCATATATTTGATAACAAGGCAGCGTTCACCAAACTTTTACAGTTTCGCAAGAAACTTCAGCTTTAACCACATCTCCAGGCGCATGGCGCAACTAAATAACTTAAAAAGTAAAAGTTGCTAAACAATATCTCCCGGATGCTTGTTATTGTGGTTACCTCTGAGTTCTTTGTAGGGTCTCAAATTTTGCTTTCACTTTCAGGTACTCCCTGTAGCTGCTCTGCAATCATAAACCCAAGTCATATGAAACTACAAACCAAGAATTATAACTGAAGTTATTAATTCTAACGCAAGTCATCTCATAAATGAACAAAACATGATATGTCTCAGGCTTGGTTAGAAAACCATAGCACCCATGAAGTCAGATATTAAGTAGAGCATAATGAACACTTAACCGTAATTCTTCTTCCTTTCTTAATTAATATACCTAACCTTTTTATGTATTGTGGGAACAACAGCATAACCTTTCACCATCCTTGTAATCGAATCATTTTCTATATTGAATGAGCAGTCTCTTTCATTTGTGCCCGTTATGGTACGATAACCCATCTAAATTGTTGCACAAGTTTTTCAAGGATTTTCTAAATTGTAAAGGACTTGAATCTCCTTAAAAGAAATCAAGATGTACATGCCTCAAAATTGATTTGTTTCCTCAACTATCATCTATTATAAAGGAGTACGGAACCAAAGTAATTCAACTGATATTCTTACTAAGAGGTCCTACAGTTCAAACCTTCCTTTTACAACCAAAAGAACTATAAAACACTAATATATAATTAATAAAATAGACCAGGCAAAAAGGTACGAACACCTCGATTGCTAGTCATAAGATCATTCAAGCCTATGCGATTTGGCAAAGCCTTAAAAAACTGAAACAACAGACAGACTTTCTCTGTAACTTGTTTCTGATAAAAAAAAATTCCAAATAAATCTTCGTGTGGGGGTACATTCTCTCTATAAAGGGTAAAGCCTAAAGCTCTACATACCTGTTGGCCAATAAAATTCCCACCTGAAAATAATATGAGAAAATACTTCACTTTTGTTTTTGTTAATTTCTTTCAATACATCATACAACTTGCATACATGAGTATTTATAACTAAGAAGATTTTGTAACTTCAGAGTTCATTAAATTTTGTAATTTACCTATGTAAATAATGAGAGCACAACCTGATGCATTTAATTTTGTGTTACCGTATGTTCAAAGTAGTCAAAGAGCAAAATTCTAATTAAAACCTCTCATTTAATATCGAAATGTTTCAACGAATTTTGTAAGATTATGAGAAAAGAATAATGAATACTCTATACTTCATCTAAAAATTGTATTACACTGTAGTTATCTACATTGTTGTAAAAAGAATAAAACTAAGCTTACCTCGAGCTCCTTGGCTGGTTTGTTGACTTCGTCTGCCCCATAGCTGCACTTCTGATACCTTTCCAGGGTCTTGAGCATGCTGTAAAAGGGAAAAGCATGAAATAAGTCTAACCAAACCACAGTCTGATTATTGGAAAATCAGATATGCAAAAATGAAATTTGTTCTTGTTTTCATTAAAACGAGAACATTATATTAGTCGGGAGCTTACGCAAGAGGGTGTTAAGTGGTAACTGTTACGCAAACATTCGTAATCTAACCATAACAATGGCAGTGAAGCCTTGTATAAAAAACAAAAGACCTGTTTCAGCATCGATCTGGAAACCACATGTATGTTATTTTACCCTCTTTAAAATCTTGAATAAATATATAATTTGGCTTTTAACTATACTACTAGAAATAAGCCATAACCCCCTTTTTTCTATGACCCTAACTCACTAATTTCCTACAAGAGATCGAGAGGTACAGTAAATTATAAGATCTGGTGATGTTTTATCCATCCAATCATAGTGCAAGAATTTCTCCATGCCCTTCAACGCTGTGGAACAAATGAATGAATGTTCATATTGACCTCAAGATGTACATTTCTTTCTTTCCATCTCCATGATATATTCCATGAATGTGACAAATGCCAACCCTCGATCTACCACGAGAAGAGAGGCCTGGTTTAACCTACATATATAGTAGTGATGCATGAAGGGAGTAATCCATGTGAGTAGTACTGTCTACTGTATCATAAATATAGGGTTTTCATATGTATAAATATTTCGGGACAAACCAATCAACGTAATTTTATAACATATTTTTCAATATGGTAATCTTGTATAAAAAAATTAATTTATGCAAGGATATAATTGAAAAAACATATATTTATTTAAAGCATTGTGGATCCCCTCAATATTTCTAAACGTAGTGTACTCATCGAACAATTTCAAAACTGATTCAGTTGATTCAAAACTGGTTACACCAGGTCAATAACCAGTAAACCAGTCAAAACCAATATTGAAACCCAACTTTGAAGTTACACAGTTTGATTGCTTTACGATTATTATTTTTTTCATTTACAGCCTCCACATGCATCTCTTGCGATGTGATCTTTAAGCTCTAAAAAAGTGAAATCAACTAAGTTTGAACTTCATTTCCCATAAAAACTTTATAATTCTCAATTTCGGTATTTAAGACATCATGTCTCGAACTCCCATTCACACTTCTGGTTCTACTTCGCAACCACGTCTTTCCAATTCAATTATTTGGCCATGTTTTAAACGTGAAAACAAAGTGACTTCTGTCGTTTATTTCTCTCTCTCTTCTTTCTTTTATGGCCGGTGCACTAATTTTCATTGTAATTATCTCAACGAAGGCATTTATTTTGGATACGTAAGAATATTTTATGGTTGACAAATAATTTACTTGAAAAGCAGTGATTCGTGATGGTAATAATAAAATATAGGATATAGATGGTAGTTGTTACAGTGACGGAGTGAAGTGATAGTGGTCGTGAAGGTGGTGGATGTAATGACACTGATGAGTTAATTATTGTATATAAAATTTTTTTATGAAAGTTCACAAGTTGAAATATTTTTTAGTAAATTAATTATAAGGTATTTTAAATTGATAGAATTTTTTGTAAAATATATTTTTTTGAAAAAATAGATATAAAAATTTTAAAAATATATATGCTCTTAGTGTCTCTTAATATAATGTTAAGTTATTTGAGACGATGCTATTTAACTTTGCCTATTAATCTCTAACATTATTAACCGTTACTTACATTTGACTTTTGTTATTAATTTTAGTTTTCATTTTGAGATATATAGATAACATGTTTATATGTGTTTGCATAGTAGTTTCCGAGGGGAAAAACTCATCAAAACAAATTTTTTTAAAAAAAGGATGTGATGATATAAAAAACAAAAAACTCCAAGTAGTTTGAGGATAAAGTTTGTATCTTGAATAATCAATTAATCTTTTGGTTCTGATAATCTCATTTATTCTTTCTAGCCAAAATGGTTGAAGACGGGTGCCTGATACTAAAAAGGTCCTCTCTGATAAATTTGAGAACTTTCTAATAATTAAGTCAATAATTTTTTAAAAGAAAATATAATAATATTACATAAAGATACTTTTAAAATAAATATAAATTAGAAAATGAAGATTTTAAACTTTTTTGGTGAACTTGAGAGAACTCTCTAATGATTAAATGAATTTCTGAGAGAAAATATAATAATATTACAAAAAGATACTTGAGAAATAAATATACAATAGAGAATGAAGATTTCAAACCTTTTGTTTAAAGGATTAGTAATCTATTTATAGCCCATGAGTTTTTTTATGGAGAGGGGGACTAAAGTGTAATATTGTTTTGTTAGTATTAAAGAGATAAAATATCTCTCATATATATTAATGTTGATTAAAAATATCATTGACATATGTATTAATGAGAGAAAATATCCTTAACATATGTATTAATGTGAATGAAAATATGGTAAGCTTTTCATGGACTTTTACACATTATCTCTTGCACAACAATAATATCAATTGAAATATAGTAGGTTCTTAGAGGACTTTTATATAATTAATGGGTATAAAAAAAGTAGGATCCAAAATGTAATTTTGTCTAAAAAGGTGGGTCCTTCTTCTAGCTAAGGCCAATGGAGTGTGAATCCTTTCTTTAGTTGTGTATTGATGAGAGAAAATATCTTTAACATATATATTAATATAAATGAAAATATGGTAGGCTTTTCATGGACTTTTACACATTATCTCTTGCACAACAATAATATCAATTGAAATATAGCAGGTCCTTAGAGGACTTTTATATAATTAATAGGTATAGAGAGAATAAGATCCAAAATGTAATTGTGTCTAAAGAAAGTGGGTCCTTCTTCTAGCTAAGGCCAATGGAGTGTGAATCCTTTCTTTAGCTGTGCCCAAGGAAAGTTGGGTTTTATGGTGATTATTTGGGCTTTTAAATCTGGATTTATTAATAGTTTTTCAAGTCATTGTGGTATTTATATGCAAAAACTTGTAAAAATAACTAGTACAAAGAGTTTGTTGATTCTTTATATAAGAAGCGGGTTAAATCCCCAATTAATATAACAAAGAGTCTATATGTAAAGGTATACTTTATGTTTGAAAAAAGAATTTCTAAGTATATTGAGATGAACTATGGAGGAACCCATGCCTAGAAAATTTTCTAGGATGGTGAGATGAAACCATAAAGGAATTCATCATTAGAAAATTTTTCTAATAGGTAGAGAAACCAAGTAGGGTAAGTCTATATTTAGAAAATATTATAAAAGACTGGGAGAGAGGGGGGAATGAATTCTTATCGACATGTATATTTAGAAAATTTTTACAAGGAAGAGAGGACATTTCCATGTTGACACCCATACTTAGAAATTTTTTTAAGGAGCGGAGGGGAACCCAAGGATGGTGTTATTGCAATAAGGATACCAAGTCAATCTCTTTCTTGAAGAGTTATTATATTTTTTAAGAGATGAGACCCCATGTTATACGGCGTAAAAGCCTCCCACTGAAAAGAGAGACCACACTTGAAAGCGAGAGATTCGAGATCATCCCTAGAGATAACATAAAGTTCGAGAGCCTATTTAAATAATTGTGTTAGTTTTTTAGGTTCCAGTTAGTCTTAGTGGTATATATTTAGTCATAGGATGAAGGTCTTGTTACTTTGTTGAGATTATCATCTTAAGCTGTTATGGAGGGTAGAGCTATCACATTATGAAAAATCACTTCCAATGAGATTATGCAACATATACTAAGGAGAATCCTTTCCAAGGAGAGTGCAATTGCACTAGAAAGAATCCTTTTCAAAGATGTTATGCAATAGCACTAGAGAGAACCCCTTATAAAAAAAATGTGTAATTACACTAAGAAAAACCCCTTTTAAGAAGAGTGTGCAAGAGTTCAAAAGCTTCCGTTAAAGATCTGTAAGTAGAAAGTGTATTTCAGAGACAATTATTTTAATTTAAAAACAAACTTATATCCTATCAAGGATAATATATCATAAGGTGACTTATTGGACTTTAAGGAGTCTTCTGATCCATTCTTTGAAGAATGGTGTTATTGCACTAGAGAGATTCATGGCCAATCCCTTTCAAAAGTGGGGATGCCACAAGTGCCAAAAAATTTTGAGGTAACAAAACTTAATTTTACCGATAAGCAACCAACACAGCCCAAGTGACAGGTTATACGTGGTTGATGAGTTGTTGGAAGTTTAGATGAGCAAAATTGCTCGTGATAATTAGTAAATTCATCAAGCGTTCTAGCCCAAATGTGTCATGATGTATGCCATATGAAGACTTTGAAATGTCATTAGAAAAAAACTGACAGCTTTTTTATCATTTTTTCCGTACATGACACAAATAATGATGTCTTAAACAACCCAAGTAGATTAGGAACAAAGTTTATATATTGAATAATTAGATAATTTTTTGGTTTTAACAACATGATATATTCTCTCTAGCCCAAATAAATGAAAACTAGCCCCAAAAACAAATGACCCCTTAATTGCTGAGGATGCAATAAAATTATAATAAATGTTATGGAATTAGAATGGCTATTAGCTTCTAAATCAACAAGAAAGATTCATACACAATAGTGGAGATTGAATGTGTTTTTTTATTATTAATATTATTTATTAGGGGAAGCATTGCACTAAATTTAAGAATCCTGCAGTTGATTGTAACTAGTTTTTGAATTTTGATTTATAAAATTTATACATTTAATTTGTATAAATTTCATGCACCAAGTCTTAGGGAGTTTATTAGGGAGTTTAAATTAAAGTGGATGCATGGACTTTGTATTCTATTTCCCTTCTTCTTTCCCATTTTCTTTCCAAAGATTTTGTATGTCCAAGTTCTAAATATGTGAATTTTGCATACTAAAAAGAATTTACTCCTTGAGATTATCAAGCCAAATAGCAAACAGACTACAATCGATGATGATTACTTACTTCACACATTGATTAACTTCTATGATTGATTGTGAAGAGGGTAATTGTGTTTGCCGTTATGTTAATTAACTATCGTCAGTTATGAAAGTTTGAAATCTATTAATTTGCCCTAGAGCTGGAGTTATAAGACAAAAACCCTAGCAAATGTCAGTTTTACAATCTTAATGCCTGTCTCTAGACTTTCTTGCCTATATTATAAGGAGAAGTTAATTAACAGCAACAAACAAATGCATGTTTGCACTCAAAGATCACAAGATTAATGATTGAAACACTCAAGAAGCTACAATGGATTGCTAATAAATGGCACTAAATTAATCCAACCTCGAAATATTATGATTTTAACCAAAGTTTTCTTTTTAAAATCAAAGTAAATGATAAATCAGTTGATTACTAATCCTAATAAGAGTATTAAAATACCCATAACTCATGTTTCAGGAGGATGTTTGGATAAGTTTTCTTTTTAAAATCAAAGTAAATGATGAATGAGTTGATTACTAATCCCAATAATAGTATTAAAATACCCAAAACTCATGTTTCAGGAGGATTTTTGGATAATTGTTGTAGTTATTTTTTAAAATATTTTTTTAATATATTAAAATAATATTTTTTTTATTTTTAAAATTTTATTTAACATCAAAATATCAAAACCATTTAAAAATAAAAATCACTTTTTTATAAAACCCCGAATCCCCCCGAACATTTCTCAAATCAATCATTCATTTGTTTTTTAGTTTAATTAATAATTAACCACAGTTCCTTTATTGAAACAAGTGCCTACGTGGATTTCTGTAAGAACCATGTAACAAGGGAGAAGTGCTTTTTATACCTAGCAGATAACAGTTGAACATGGCCAAGTAATTATAGGGCTTTTCACAGCTCGCAGCTCTCTCAAACTAATCCGAATTGTCTCATGGGTAAGAACAGGTTCCCAGGATAATCTAATCAACTTCATTTATTAGCATTTTTCAATCCAAAATTTTTCTCATAAAAAAAAAACAAAAAAGAAGTTAAAAACCAAACTCAGAAGAACTGCCAGCTGCTGGATATATCAATTTCTTTTGTTCTTTTTTTTTTTTTTCAACTTGGGGGAAAGAGAAAACAGAATCAGTAACGAATTTTTTTATCAAGGAATTTCAAGCTTCTTGAGAGGAAAAAAACAACACCACCAAGAAGAATTTTGTGCCACTAATGAATCTTTTTTGAAATAAATACTTAATCAGTTAGGTACTCTATAGCTCCCCCAGAAGCAAACATCGAGATTTCAATGATGAACAACAAAAAGACTTCAAATTTGATTCGGATCCCATGAAGAAACTATTGCAGAGAGCAGATCAAACAAAAATATAATTGATTTGAGCATCGCAAGGATTATAACAAAAGTAAACGAAGAATTAATGAAAACAACAAGAAAATTTCACAAACACACACACTTCACCAAGTTCTTAACCGAAGTTACCATCAAAATTAGAAAGTGACCATTCCAATAGTCCCCAGAAAAAGTAAATGCTCAAAATTTGTTAGATAGAGAAAGGTGTAAAGATGCTGGCTTTGTGGGACAAGAATCACACGAAATATCAAGTCCATGAACAAATCAAGATAGCTAAGAAACGGATCCAACATATAATGAATCAAAAACAAAAGGGAAGAATGCATTAAAGATGGAGGTGAGAAGGAAAGGGAAAAAGGGTCATACTTAGATGTGCTACAAAACTCGTAGAGCTTGCCACGGTTAGAGAAGATGATGAGAGCAACCTCAGCATCACAGAGCACAGATAACTCATAAGCTTTCTTCAACAACCCATTTCTTCTCTTCGCAAACGTCACCTGCCTGTTTATCTTGTTCTCTATCCTCTTCAGCTCCACTCTACCTCTCCCCATACTCCTTAAATATCATTACAATCCATTAAAACAAAAAAAGACAATCAGAAACCCTTCTTTCTTTGAAATTAATACATATATCTAAGTTTATGATATACATACTTGTTATGTGTACTGGCTAGAGCAGTCTTTCGTTTTCTTTTGAGTATTTATTTTCCTCGTTTCTTGTTCTCCTCTTAAGAACAAGGAGGTGATTATTGCCTTTAAGAATCAGAACCCGGATTATAACAAAAAAAAAATGTGAAAAAACAAGAGAAAGTTGGATATTTTGAAGAAACCCTAGAGAGAGAGAGAGGCCCACCAATAATAGAGAACTACAGAGTTTGTCCGTAGAAAGAGAGAGTTATGTTTCAAGAACTGCTTTGGTTGTCTTTTCTTCTCTTTATATATATATAAGGTATTCTGTAGAAATTAAAAACAGCTTAGGGTTATTTGTTTTTCTAGATAACTTTTAATTAATACCATAATTAAATGCTTGTTTGTCTACGTAGTTAGCTTTGTTTATATATATATATATATATATTACGTGATTAATTACAGTTTAGTAACGTAGACAAACACGTACTAAGCATCTTCTAGTTAGTATATGATCATTCACATCATTAAATTAGAAACCTTAAAAACAATTCATGTTTGCAGAGTCTTATCTAGACGCCACCGTCTCAACTATCGTGCAGGTGGATAAGTGGATGTTTAGGAGTATAATAGCAGATATTTTTTAAAAATATATATATTAAAATAATATTTTTATTATTTTTAAAAAATTATTTTTAATTTTTATATATTAAAATGATATAAAAAAATAATTTTAACAAAAAAAATATTAAGTCGACGTGAGTGAATGTAAAGGGAGTGAGTAGAAATGGGCGGTCTTTTCATATGGAAAAACAAAATTATTTTATGGGTACCAGTTTGTCATTTCCAGTGGTGTTCATACGTCATCTTTCTTAAAATGGATCTTAACGTGTTGGTTTACTATTGGCGGAAGTTCTTGATTTGACTTTGACTCTTACGAGGTTGTTTGATTACAACGTTGCTATTTGGGCCGTTGATAATTCAGTAAACTGAATTTCCTTTTTACATACATTAAATTCAATTAATAATATGTCCTGAAGAAAATTAATTGGAGTATATATAGAGTGAAAATTTAAGTTCTTAATTAATTAATTAATTAATTTTAATGTTTCCATAATATCCTTTTAAAAAATTAATTTTAATTAATGCATAAAATAATCTAAAAATATTTATTATCGTTGGATGGGAAAATAATATGGTAATAAGAGCAATATATAACTTCAAACACCAACAAATAGAAGTTAATTTCTTGCTACTTAATTCGTTTCTTACGTGGAAATGAAGATTTTGGCGCCAGGATATAAAAAAAACCTTCGCTTTATATTTCAACACCAAGGGGTGTTTGATGGATCTGCGGAATTTAATTTCTAGAAAATATTTTTTAACTTTCAAGATTTTTTATTTTGAATTCAGACATTACTATGTTTTATTAAATTCTTGAAATTCATTTTGTATTATGTTTATAATTATCATTTCATTAATATAAGGTTATTACCTTTTTTTTAATCTATTTTTGAAGAATAAAAAATGATTTGAATTACTATGTCTTAATTTATATTTCTTCATAATTAAACTGGACCATCTGGACTATGCACGAAGTGAATATTTTAACCCGTAGTAATTCCTTTTGCGATTAACAAATTACTCCCTTAAGCAAGCATATAGTGTATTCAAGTAACTATATTCAAGTAGAATATCCATTTACAATTCTTTCTCAAGATCTATGTGGAGAAATAATTTTTACATCAAATTGATGTAAAAATTAATTTAAATTCATAGCTAAAGATATCGTAACTAAGACCGTATTCAACTTTACTAATGAAAATAGTCTATTGGTAATTTGTGTCATACATCTAAGTATATCCCTTTGCTATAATTATTGATTTGTATTTTTTAATGACCTTGGTTGTTTTATACTCGATAGAAAACATTTATTTACATCCTACACGTTACTTGAAATTTGCAATTTATTGAAAAAATATTGTGAACTTATTCCGCCTGCAAGACTTTTACTAACAAGCTTACAGATTATTATTGTTTGTTGAAAAACTTTCCTCGGTGATTCCTCTTTTGTTTGTAATTTTGTAGGTAAAATAATCAACATTGAATTTACAGAATGAATAAGCGCACCAAACAAGAAACATTTATTTGCTTTATTATATCGGTATCAGTGAGTTTATAATTCTTTTTTAATTCTCTAAAATATATCAACAAATTTAACCTATTAGTAAAAACGTTAGTAATTTTAGTAAAAAAAAATTAAAAAATAATCAATTGAGTAGAAAATAGTTAAAAGAAATTAATTTAAAATAAAAATCAAATATTTATTATAAATTTAAAAATTTATCAATTCAAATACAATTCATCTAGAAAAAAAAGGGCTAGAAGACGTGGGTCATTACAAGGACCGGAGAGGCAATAAAAGGGAGCACACGTACCATTCAAGTGTGATTCCAACTCCATATATAATGGTCAGGGTTCAACCATCTCAGCATTGAGTCATTGTGTCTTGGCAGCAAGATGGGTCATCCAAGCATTAACTTGTTGGTTTGAAATATCCTCAAACTTCAAAGTTTGAGTGCTCGAAACTGATTACGAACATCCAAAGATTAAAATGTTTTGGCCTATTTGTATGTTTTCAGTTATAGTGTTTGAAGTACTGTAAACTCAATTTTTATTAGGTCCACCAGATGATCTCACCTCTAATTATATTTTCATATCGCGTTCCCGATGGGTTGAAAGATCATCCTCATATCTCTCTTACAACCAAGTGTTTTATATTTCTTAGAGAAAAAAAGGTCAACAAATTAAAAAAATAACAACTTAAAAAAAATTTATTGAAACCCAGCATACCATAAGCTTCTAAGCTCGGTTATCCAGAAGTTATTGCACCCTTTTTCCAACAGTCATCATTTCATACACGTGTTTCTCTAAAAAGCTTTATCAGTCTTGGTTCATGTCCAATAATTGTAGCATGCAAGAGAAAAATATTATTAGATAAACGTATTCATATAAAACAACAATTTTTAAAAATAGATGTAATAATTAAAAAAATATACATCTGCTTTGCATGAAAAAAGAACAAAATGGATTTGTTAGTGTGTATGGTAATGGAACAATGAATTTCCATCTTCTAGTTTTCTACATCGGATTGTGATTGTTACACAAAATACTCGGACACCACGTACTAAATATAATCTACTCATGTAACCTCCGAGATGTATAGAGATATGAAATCTTTTTAAACTGCCACATCTTTCTAGCCTGAAAGCCTGAAAGCTCTCTTTCTTTAGCATTGTTTTAATTTTTTCTACATCTCATACTAAAAATCATGCAACCTATATGATAAAAATAAATTACCAGTTAATATATGAAAAATAAAATTTTAAGATTAAAATAAAAAATATTTATTTTGATTTTAATTTTATCTAGTTACCTTATGATTATACCAAACTTTTTAGATTATGGCATGATGTCTATGCTCACCATATTTGTAACATAACAATTTAAAACCAAAATAATAACATTGACTTGTGGTTTGTTAGAGAGTAAGTTTAGGTTCAGGTTGATTGGTTTTTTGTTGATAATGATGTATATTCCCCTAATATTTTGATCACATAGAAACCCTTTATTGGCTACCCTAGTAGCTTATTGTTCTTTCATAGTTAGAGCCCTCTAATAGACTTATAAAATTATTTATAAAGACTACAAGTATAACACATCTTAAATGGATTATCGCAATCCCCTCAAATACATAGCTAGTAGTTGCTTTTTTATTTTAAAAGTTAACTTTTAGCTATTAACTAATAAAAATTATATATGTACTCTTTAACATACCCTAGTCTTAACATATAGAATAATTAGTATAAAATGTAGATGTATCTAAAAGGAAAAAAAAATATTCTTTCATCTTTTTATTCTTTTTTATCTTTTCTCAATCACTAATTATTGGCTTGTCTTATCTATCTCGAATTCTTTTCAATTGTTCTCATAAAAAAAATCACCTCTTTAATATGTTACCCTCATTTATTTTGAGACTTAATTGCATAAAACAAATTTCTTCTACTTTATCAAACCAATCAATAAACTTTTATACATGTAAAGTACTTGAAAACTCAATAAGTTCTATTTAAAACCCTAACTTTCCAGGATAATCATTCTAATTAATAGATTTTCTCTTTTACTCTTATCTTAAAAATAAGTTCTTTAGACTGGCTATAGATCCATGATTTCTCTCATCATAATTTTATAGGTCTTTCTTTACGAATTGAAAGGTCAATTCCATAACATGTCTCTACAAGTCTTCCATCATTAGTTTATGTAAATCTCTTTCTTAAAGTGAAACCTCCTCATCCCTTATTTTATAAGCATGTCTTATTATGTGACCTCTCCAGCCATATGTTTATTTAATAACTCATAATAATTAATCATCAAAAATTGTTAGGCTCTAATATTGATTAATGCAACTAAACCTAAAAAAAAAACAAGAAGATAATTTTATTGAAAAAAGGGTCCAAATACAAGAACCCTTATTTAACTTTTACTACTAAATTTTCTCGTTATAATAGTTTACCTCTTCAAAAAGGTTTAAAACTCTTTAAAGAGGTTGGTAATCAACTTTTCAAGGTAGGAAAATCAAAATTCTCATTCAAATAGTAAAAACAATATAAAATTTGAAACTAAAAAGGAAAATAATGAAATTGAATTAAACAATACAATCTAAGCCTAATTTGAATTTTTTTTATACCTCAATTGGTTATAGCCAACCAACCCTTTATGGAATTGGTTTGTAGAACATATTGTCTAGATTTGTACACAATTCAATAATCACATCTAAAGCTATGAGTTTTTCATTTAGTGCAATCAAATCTCTTATAGGCTTAACTCGATTTCACTTGTCTATAAATAAATTTGCTAGGCTTTCTACATGGTATAATTATGTGAAGTGGACAAATGACTATTTAAAACCATTAGAATTGCCTACAACCTTAGTAACTATTTTCTCAAAACATTTTCACTTTCCAAAATGAAGCAACGAAGACACTGAATTTGGTCAAAGATTAGAGCACACGATGAAAAATCACATGAAGTCGAGAGGATATAAATCCAAAGAGCTGAAGTATTATAAACTGCAGATTCTAAAATATATTTATTTGGGGATTAAATGTTTGGCCATCGTAAGTAATAAATTGAATTAACAAAGAGAGAATGTATTTTTA